TGAGTGAGAGAGAGCATGAGAGAGGAGAAGGTCAGAGGGAGAAGCAGACTCCCCAAGGTGCTGGGAGCCTGATGCGGGACTCGATCCCGGAAGTCCGGGATCATGACCTGAGCCGAAGGCAGTTGCTCAACCAATTGAGCTACCCAGGCGCCCAAAAATCAGTTGCTTTTACAGTTGGTTCTACTGATATGTACAAAATAATATGATTTTTCCCTTTCATTACAAGTCTCATCTTTAGACCTGAGAAGGAGAGTGAGAAATTGAAGTGCAAATATTCAGATCTTTTTATTTTTCTTTTCTTTTTTTTTCTTCCTTTTTGTCTCTCAGGCAGATCCCACTCAAAGGTCTGCCTTTCCCGGGATTTGGTCCTTAGCTCTATCTCTAGTCTACCCCATTGTCTTAGAACCCCAACCTCCCTTCCTCCACCCCCTACTTAAGTCGACTTTAGAAAATGGTGCCTTGAGGGATTTTTCAGTGTCTTTCTCTACTTTGTGTCCAAATTATATTCCAGTTTTCACAACGAAAAGTAATTGTTTCAAATGATATTTTATAACCATGGGGCTTGTGACCTTCATTTCATTTCCAGGACTTCTGTTTCATATTTAGACTGCTTCTTACTTAAAAGATTTCAGATGGAAAAATATTTTACCTTTTTCATGTTTGGGGAGAAAAGTAGCAACCTGTCTGTATTAATCTTTTTTCTTCATCTACAACCTGGGTTACATATAGCAAACCATGGCTGACTTGGGTTAAAATGAAGAAAGCACAGAAAATAAAGTCAGTATTTTCTTTATTAATCACATTTAAACTTTAGACCATAATCCTACTTAATATTTTTAAATAACAGACACAAAATAAAATCTATGGAAAATTGTAAGGAAAATAGAAAATATTAGAACTGTGACTGGTTTCAAAGCAGTGAAGAATTTAGGGCCTGCTGAAAAGGTCTGATCTGGCCTTGTTTTACATGACAGTGCTCAAACATTTTCCTCTGAGCTAACACTGCTGTGCTAGTTGAATGAATCCAGAACAAGTCCATCAGAAGACAAAATGATAGAGATTTCATAGGCCTGAGTTTATGAATAATTTGGGATCTAGTTTTATGGCATACTCATTTGGGGGGGGGTGCGGAATCAAACAACTCAAAGTTTCCATAATAGCTTTTTGTTTCTCAGCAAGGTCTGAATAATGGCTTCTTTACAAGTAAAAATGATCTGATAACTTTTATTTATCATTCCTATGGATATTATGTGTCTTCCCTGGTTATGGAAATACTGTAGGGCTAGATCTGAGTTGTGCCTAATTCATTGCTCTGTGTAGAACACATGTGAGGTAGCCATGGTCCGAAGCCACTCTTTAGTCGTGGATGAACAGAGGTCTGTCATGGTCCAGTGGGCTTGGTCCTTGAAATGAGGGAACCATGAAGCTTAGTTGGTGCCCTGTGTTTGCACCTCATTCTCTTGGGTCAAGCCTTCATTGTATTACAGAGTTGTTCTGTTAGAGAGGCTACTACGGTACAATCCAGCCACTGCAGATTTCTAATCTGCTTATTTATAATTCAAAAGCTTGCCTATATATTAATGAACCCTTAATGAGCTGTTGAAAATGCCTGAATTACAGTCAGATTATTAAACTCAAACAGCCCCGTAATCATACCATTTGAGTGGGCTTTAGGTACTTTTCACATCTGCAGCTTAGTATTGTGAAGGGTATGCGTTTATTCGGAGAAAGCTTTGTAATAATTTTGACCCGTAATTTATTTATTGCCCTCTGAATGCAGTCGTCTATGCAGATGCTCTCTCCCATTATCTGTGGGGCAGGTGCACAGCATGTTGAAAGACAGCTAATTAGGATTTGCTGAAAGATATGCAAAAACTGTGGGCTTATAACAAAGCCAAGTTCATTGTTAAACAATGTTTTACTGTGTTTGTATGATTTGTCTAAATCTTAGGGATAGTGAAATGAATGTTGTGTTTATAAGTAGATTGCAAATAGGGTTGTTGTTGTTTTTTAACTTTATAATACTATTATAACTGAGGAGCCTAGATGTAAAACTTCATAAATCTCTGTAAATGTTCTACTATACATTTTGGATTAAAAACAAGAATGAGCAGTTTTAAAATTATTGTTTTTTCAAGTTTAAATCTGAAGATATCAAGATCTTTTGATACCTACACGGGCAGATACATCCTGCCCCTTGCAAATTTAGGTTCATTAAAATGCATATAGGTGCCCAGAGGAGTAGGTCTTGTAATTGGGAGCCATGTGTGACTTTGGCAGGTTAGTAAGCTAAGTAATAGTGAGTGAATAGGTAGGTGGGATGAGGAATAAAATAGCAATCTGAATGTAAGGCAAGAATATGAATAGAAATATTTAAATTAAAAATAATTTTAGAAACTAGATTATTTCTATTCGAAGATCCATAATCATGAGATTGCTTAGTAGAGAAAGAAATTTGATTCACTTTTCCAACTGTAGGTATGAAAATGACTTCAGTATTGATAAACAGCCTTCTCAATGTTGCCTAATTACAAAGTGCTATAGTACTTTTCATCCAAACGAGTATGAACTTTTTGTCAAGGAATGATTTTTCTGATGTGACTCGATGCACATAATTTATAAAATAAGTGCAGAAAGATATATTAAAACATTTTTTTCCTATATCTGAGGCAAAACTGAAATGTTGATTTACTTATGATTTTAGAAGAGATATTATTCATCACAAAGGGAAAATGTTATACCAGCTAAAAATACATACTTATTTTTATTTGTGTCCACTACTGTTGACTTTAACGGTTCCTTCCTGTTGGTGTGGTAGTATTGGTTTATATACCTATTAGCAATGTATAAAAGTGCCATGTTTTTGCATTTCTTCCTAATGAATTTCCTTTTTCTCTCTCCCTTATAGTCTGCTTCCTTGTGTTTTAAGTCACTGTACTGCCACACTTGTGCAGGGAAGTGTAATAATTTTGACTGTGGATATTGATCTACTATTAAAGAACCTCACCAAATAACCATAGGAAAAAGATCAGTGTGTATAAATACGAGGGGGAAAACTGGAAACCTGGAGGGACCTTGAAGGTAGATTAAAAAAAGAACCCCACGTCTCCAGGAGAATCACCAGTGTCTGTATAAATACAAAAGAGAAATAGTGAGCACACAAAAGTGTGAGCAAAAATTTAGTTGAAAAAGGAGAAACTTAAGGGCCTCCCGACAAATAATATAAAATGAACCTGACTGAGCCCAGAGTGCAAAAGAAGAGGCTGGTCAGTGAGTCCTCACTGCATGCCAGATGCACAGAAAACGGTATGTGCAACTACAGGCATGTCGAGGACACGAGTTTTTAACATCTAACAAAGTGAATTAGAAGGGAAGAAAATTAAAGATGTTAAATTAAAAATGCCAGCATAACCAGTATTTACCAGATCTAGAAGAAATAGCAAATACATGTTTTTCTATTTTTAATTATCAGCAATGTTGATACTGATACTGATTTTATCTTATTTAAGAGAGTTTCCTAACTTTCTGGTTCCCTAAATGAATTTATTGTCTTAGTATATTACAGTCTTCAGACCTTATTTATTTGCCTCTGAACAGGCAACAGATATAATTTTAAATTATTGTGAGTTAGTTTTATTACCCAGTTGAAATTATTCTGAAGTATATTTTTAAATGAAAGTGACAGCTTTAGAGTGTTTTGAGGGAGGAAATTAAAGTTGTGCATTTGCGTTAAGACAACCAAGAGCTCTGTCATGCTGTGGGTGTAATTCAGGACATCGAGGAATGAAATCTGTTCTTAAAAGAATTGATGGTAGTTTTAGGTTAGCATATAAAATCACGGAGCTGGTGCTCAGTTGAGTCCTTGGCAGCTTATAGATGTAACTGTCATGTAAGTTACACCAGACACAAGAGTGTGCACCACTGTGGATAAACAACAACAGCCACAGACGAAAAAGGCAGAATCCAAACGCAGGCATGCAAGATGCCAACTTCCCCGCCTCCCTCTTCCCCAGGATGCCTTGTAACTAGTGTGGGGAGCCTCCTTTTAAACAGATTTACAGAGGTTAATTGGGCTGGGATATTTTAGATTATGTTCCACATTAATGAAAATGCTGATTTTGAGCTGTCATGACTCCAGTGCTTTTTATACCATGATAATTATTTTAAAACTTTGTCTTCTGTGTTGTTGAAAACATCTTGGCAGAAAGCCTATGTGACCTGATTAAACCTATGAATTGTCAGCTGTGATCTATAGTTCTCAGACGAGGTTGCTGACTGGGCATCACTTAGGAAGTTCTTGATTTAAAAGCAAAATTAGATTGCGACTACTGTTTGCCATTCCAGTGGTACATTTTTAATACTCTATTTAGGGTCCTGATTTCACGGTTTACAGGCAATTGGTGAACATATTCATTCACTAATATATATTTTTAAAGCATAGCTAATTACCTCATGATGTATGAATTTCTTTCTCCCCCTGAAATTACACAATGGAAATTCCCATCTAATCCTGTTTGTTTTCTAATTTTTGTATATAGTTTGTGAATCAGTTATTCTATGGGATTTCAAATTCTGTTTCTCCAGCCGCACAGAGAAGCAGAATAACTACCTTTAGATGTGTTTATGTCCTTGGGATTATTATTTTTTTTTCCTTTCTCAAAATCCCCAATTTTTTAACCCTTTCTCATTTTATGCTTAAATCCTTGAAATTTGGGAAGATTGATGTTAGCGTATTCTGAGAAGCCAGGTTACCTTTTTCCAGGGATCCAATCTAGGATAAATTAAAAGGGGGTAATAATAGAAATTCTGGGATGCATGTAAATATTCTCTTGAAAAGAATTTTCATACTTATGCTTATTGATGAATGTGAACAAAGAAATTCTCAGCATGAATCGTAGTACACTGATGTTGTTTGATCATTTTCTCAAATAAACAAAAATACTCACACGATTTGTCCTGTTTCTCGCTTCTTCTCTCTCTGTCTCTCTCTTCCCTTGAAGGTCTCAGCATCAGAGGAGCCCAGGAGGAGGACCCTCCCGATCCCCAGCTAATGAGACTGGACAATATGCTTTTGGCAGAAGGGGTTTCAGGTCCTGAGAAAGGTGGGGGATCGGCGGCAGCAGCTGCAGCCGCGGCAGCCTCTGGAGGTTCTTCAGATAACTCTATTGAACACTCAGATTACAGAGCCAAATTGACCCAGATCAGACAAATCTATCACACAGAACTGGAGAAATATGAACAGGTCAGCAGCCGCCACTCTCATAGTCCTGCACAAACCCTCTGTTGCTCTTCTATTAGACTGCGCTAACCGATTCTGAGGGCTGTGAGGGGTAGGTGTTAACACAAAGAGTGAAATAAATAAGGTCAATGCAAAAACCCAAGTGAATTGTTGGATTCATGAAATGAAGTCCATTTGAGATTTCAGAGGTGAAGGGAAACCTATTTTGTCCCATCTATTTCTTCTAGTTTTATTCATTCCTCACATTCACGTGCCCTTACTACCACGCCTGCAACCATCCTTCCCCTCTAACCTCGCTGCTTGGTGCCCTTCAAAGCTCTGGATAATTAACATTTACACACTGGCCTTGTTCATGAGTTCTAACAACTTTTAAAGGGAAGCACTGCACAGGGAGCTCTTCCTCTTGTGCTCTGAGCTCCAGAATCCTCCCAGGAATTAATTCTGATGGACTGTGCCAGACTATAGGGGAGGGAGCTACTGGCACAAAGTAAGCAGGTTCTGGCCTTTCTCTCTGAAGAGGAGACTCCTAGGATAATTATAGATACCTTGGAGCAGAGAATACTGGGCATTGTGTGCTAAATTCCTGAGTAGATAGGGGATGTGTATTAAAAATGCTGTCCTCAGCAATTACGTTAAACGTACTTCCTTGACTCTAAGCTATCTTTAATTTTAAGCTGTGTCATTGTTTATGTACCACCAAGAAAAAAGTTAACACTACCCAATTGAACTATAACATGCTGTTGACTGTAATATGCTTCATACTTCACAAAGATGTTAAAAGGTGGGAAAAAATAAGTCTTAGATTCAATGAAATCATGTAAAATGTTGGTAGTTCATTTTCAACTTATTTTTGTTGTTAGTTTCAACCTAAAAACCTGTTTAGTTTGACAGATTTTTCACTAGCAGGTAATTTAAAAATAAAAAAACAAACAAACATTTTTATGGAAATATTTAAATGTACCCCCAAATAAAAAGAATATTATTACATTGACTTGGGTGAAATTGCCAAGCTTTAGGTCAAAAACAGTTGTGTACTGGCAGTTTTATAGAGCTCAGCCTACAATAAGGCACTGCCTAGACGCCCATCACCCAGATGCATAATATCAGTATTTTGCCAGTCTTTATTTTGCTTGTCTTTCTCTCTTTCTCTCTCTCACACACACACATACACACACACACACACACACACACACACACACACACACACACACACACCTTGTTTTGGTTTTGGTGGGCTATTTTAAAGCAAGTCTTAAGCATCATATTGTTTCACTAGCAAATACTTCATTGCACAGCCAGGCACTTCATGAAGTCCAAACACTTTAATGTGATGTGGGCGTCCTGGCCAGTTTTATTACTGATTATTCTTCTGAGTTCCCTGCATAGTTTCAGTTGTATATATTATTTTTTTCATTGCCTTCTCAAATATTCTGGATATGGTGGTGTTAAGCAAATGTTGGACTCTGTTCCAGAGGTGAGTGTGTTTGAGGGAGGGTAGAAAGTTTATGTAGCTTGATGTTAGAATCCAATATAAATTAATATTATAAGATATTGTCTTTTTTTTATCCTGCATAGTACTTTCTGGAATCTCAAACTGTATCTCTAGCCTCATTTGTAGGGATCATTTTCAGTGGAAGAAGTGCAAATAAGAATTTTGGAAAAATTATCTTATGTATGTACACGTAAAAAATGGAGCTTTCTGACTTGACATATGAATAATTGAGAGTAAACAAAAGAAGTCTTGATTGAAAAAGTTGCCCTGAGCATAAACAGAAGAAAATGGTTCCAATTTGTAGTATAATCTTAATTGCATAACTTTATGTTAACTATATCTATACATACTTCCTAAATAAATACCACTATTCACCTTGCATGGAAAGATCCATAGTATTAGGAGCGAAATGACCGACTTTCTGGATAAAGAATTAAGGCAGTTCCCTCACTGTCTCCTACCAAGTTTCTTCATACCAGCTTCCTTTTTTCCTCCCTTGCCCTGTTGGGAGTCAGGTGAGGCTGTCATCAATCAGTGTCACCAGGGGTTTTGTTTTGTTTTATTTGGAATTGTTTTTGCTTTAGGAATACACACAGGTTCTTTGAAAGTTAATCTGTAGTATGTTCTTTTGGATTTTTTTGGATTCAATATATTCAGAAGTAATGAGTTTTAAAGTGTAATAATGAATCTTATTTCTCGATATATTCAGTAACCTAATAAAAACCACTTAAATATATATTTCCTTGCTCATTTTTGACACTCTCCTGAAGGAAAAATACAGCCATTTGATATTGCTATAGTTTTATGGACAAATTAATAGATGGAGTGTGATGACTGGTTGGCTGATTAACAGAATTTCAGTTTACAGATTTCCTTCTGTAGGTTCTGAATTGTTTTAGAAACAACATAGCAGAATTTAATTCACTTGAGTTTCTGTGGGGTTGGCTTTTATAGCTTTTCTCTCTGTAGTTCCTAAGTTATTTGATCGGTGAGTTTTGACATAAGATAGTCAATTGTTTTTTCGCAAGTCTTTGGGATACAAGTTGTGGGCTCTAACTGGGCTAGACCTTCCAGGGATACGCTTTGGAGCTACTAGGAGGGCTAAGCAGAACTAAGTGAGATGAAAGGGTGGCATTTCCAAGATAGGTGGCATTATAATTTCCATTTTATAGATGAGAAAATGAGACTCAAGTTGAAAGATTTGTCCAGTGTCACACATCTGGTTAGTGTCAGAATCAGGTATTGAAGTCAGTTTCTGACAATATGCCTTCCTTTTCCACTGAATTGTGCTGCTGCTTATATAGAACTGGAAAATAATTCAGTACATTCTGGTTTTCTCTCATTCACTCATGTTGACTTGCATTTAGAATGGGATCAGAGTAGAGAAGGAAAAAACAACTATTTTAATGACTTTCCAGAAATTATACTTTTCCTCCTAAAAGTAAGCATGAGTATTCTGAGTGACAGAGCTTATTAATAATAGGAAGAACATACCTGTTAAGGCAGTGGCTTCATCAGAAAATTGTGTTGAGTCTTTTACTGAAAGAAACAAATATATTGGAATCTTAGAACTATTCACTCTACTGTGTTTTGCAATGAAGCAGTAATGAAAATGTATCTGAAGCCTGTTTAGATTTAGATTGCCATAAAATTAACAAACACGACCACTGCAGTAAACTAAAGTACCTTATAAACACAGCCACATTTACAAAGCTAAGCAGACTAGAGAGCTACAGTTCGAGCAAAATTAAATCCAAGCTGCAAGGCTCAGTTTTATATGTGTGTTTCAGGAATGGTACTGTCTTTAAAATCCTGTCCTTTTTTCCCTCCAGAGAATGTCCTTTGATCTTGTGTCTTCATTACATAGGCTCAGATATAATGATTTTTGGTGATAACCATCTAAAGTCACTTACAAACACTTTTGAAATATAAGGCCTAGAATATAGAGTAGAATAAGGTTCTTGAATATTACTACCACCCAAAATGAATCAAAACTTTTTCACTTTTCAAAAAAAAATTATATTTCACTTTTCTTTTGTTGATCCCGACACCAACAGGGATATATAATTTTCTGAAGTTTGCAGCAACTATCTTATCATACTTTGGGGTGCACTGCTTCTTTCTTTAGCTAGGAAAAAAACCCTGGTTGCTTCTTTGTCTTTTTGTTGATTAGCTACAAGTTTTGAAGAATGCTTTTACTATACCTTTCAAATAGGCTCTTAGGATTAAAGGTCCAACTATTAAAATAAGTGAATTCCTAATGAACTTGAACCAGGGGTCCTGGGAACCCCGTTTTTAACAATTCAAGGCCTTTTGGCTTCCCCACCTCTCTACCAAAGGGAAATGGACATATCAGTTTTTGCAAATGAAATTTGACTTAGACATTTGTTCTCAGTTAAAAAGAAAAAGATATATCACACCCTGTGCAGCTCTCCCACTTCACTTGTACCAGAAGAAATGCTTGTACACAGGCAATTCACTCCATAATTTACAGCTGCTATAATAGAGATGACATATTGAAAGCTATCTACTATAATTATATTGAAATACATTTTTGCTGAAGGCAAAAGTGTTGTAAGGGTCCCAACCCTCCCCAAGCATCTGAGAACCTGCTTTCTGAGTTCACAGATGTCTTTTGAATTCACCTCGAATCAGGTGAAACATTGAGCCAAGCATGCACACCAAATGTATCCAAGACCAGTCAGGTACCACTTAGCTACTAGAGGACTTTCAGACTATAGGGAATTAATTATTGGGGGAATGGAGAATGAATGTGGAATCTAAACCATCATAAAGGCATGTCCTTGTGCTTTTCGAGGATCTCAATATTTATGTGGTCAGATTTGCCGGTAAAATCCCCTTTGCTTCTAAAAGAGTTTTATTTTTATGAGGTTAAAAAATGCTGATGTTATTACCTTAGAGGTTGTGTAGCCCCCAAATTCCTAATTCCATTTTTGCTATTTGTTCTTAAGAGTTAAGCAGGAAGGACAAAAGGGTCCAAGCTGACGGAAACTCTGTATTTCATTCTCCCAAGCAAGGCTTTGTCATTCACTGCTTCCAAGGGAAGAGTTTCACTTCCTGTCAGCCTTCATGCTGGGTCTTGTCCCTGACTGGAGAGAGTGTTTGAGTGTTTCCCTTTTTTCCCTCCAAGTTTCTACTTTATTACTTCTACGTACCAAATTTATCTTTGACCACAAATTTGATTAATAAAATGAATTGTTTCATATTTGAATATTCTTTTGTTTTCAACTTCTGTCTGTATTATTCAGGCAGTAGGAAGGTGTGATTATATTACTGTATTAAGTAATCAGAGCAGGGACTGTTTGCAGAATAGCTAACATATACAAAATACGAATTTCATATAATTGCCATTTTCATTGTCAATAACTGCCATTTATTAAGTATTAATTCTGTTCTAGATTCTATGCAAAGAGCTTAAAATATATATTATACTCCTTACAAACCCTTCATGAGATAGTCCCCTAAATCATGCAATTAGGTAAGATGTGTT